AAAAAGGCCTGACTAGGGTTAAAAAGACATAGATACATACACTATACATACATACAGTTAAGCTACAGTGAAGCTAGAGAGGGCAGATCTTTTTGCTCGAAGCCTGGCATGGCAATTCGTTGTACACGCACGAGTCGATGCAGTCCGGAGGCCTCGCCTTCAGTTTCCGCCCTGGGCCCAGTTGTTCGAAGACGGATTAGCGCTTAACCCGGGGTTAAATTTAACCTGGATTTCTTTTTCTTGTGTTCAAAAACATTTTCTTGGATAATTTTCTGTGCTATTTTTAGAGCTTCGAATCATCAACTTGTAGACAAAAAGAACTAAAACTGAAATGCCTTTCTGAATTCAAATTTCGCACTAACCCTGGGTTATCTTTGAACAACTTGGCCTTGACCGTTAGGTGGATTAGTTCCCGGCAGCACTGAGTTTAAATCTTCGATCATGCTTGTAAAATAGCTAACTCCAGCCATCTGGGATTCTTAACCTTGTTATGTTTTAATCGAAGTATTTGATTCCATATCCCCGAAAAGTTCCTTAAGGACAGAGAATTATTAAGTGTGTATTGAATCCCGCTACATCGGACGTAGATACCGCCTGCTTAGATACGTAGATACCGCCTGCTTAGTTTATGAGGCCTGTTTAGTTTCTTAAATCAAATTGTAGAACTTGTGCCGAACGCAGGCTCGATTACCACCTGCTGTTCTCCAAACCCCCTCCCCGAGCGTCGGTCCTTTAAAAACTACTGTTAAAGGCCAATCATCCTTTACACCCTTTTCTCTGCATTATTAATTAAACGCTCTTATTTTCTCGAAAAGTTACAGCAAAATCGATTCCGAATATCGAGAGTACAATGATCTCCCTCCCCGATATTCCTTTCAAGAGAATATATAATGTGATACTAAGTCTAGCATTTTTAGTTATTCCGTAAAATCCGTATGGTCATGAAGGCCATAGATGGATGAAGGCAATGATTAAAATTATGAGAAAACTTTAAGGTCATAGGGTATTAATAGCCTTTTTATATATATAACAAATAATTATACAGAAACTAAAAGATAACTATTGACATCAATTTTCATTGGAATTATTCCAGAAAAAAAAGGAAGTGGTCCAGGGGCAATCGAAATTCTTCACCCTTACAAACAAACAAAAATGTCAGGGGATTTACGGATTAGTTGATCCACCTAACCGCGTGAAGTGTATTGCCAAAATAGGTATGAAGGCTTGTACACAATCAAGTAGACACCTCTTCCCCGAATTATTCGCAACTAACAAACCTAATTACGTCACTTTAAGCTATAAATATAGCGCTGGCATTCAGCATGAATAAAATATCACATAGGTTAGTGTATTTAAAGCGAAACAGGTAAAAGGCTTTTTAACACACAACAGCCACTTAAGGTCTGATATCGTAAAGAACCGAGTTTTGTTTCGAAGGCGCAAGAGAGTCATGAAAAAGGTGAGATTTACTTATAAAGTTAGTTTTCATACAACACAAACCTACTTTAAAAGTTAAAATCGGGGTAAGTGTTGAGTTTTCACGGGCGCAGGATTACAATCCAACGGCCAATTTCCACCTAAATTATTACTCAGTGCCTCAATCACTTCCGGGATATGTTTGATATAGTTAGTGAACGAAACTCAAAATGCCTCTCTGAAAAGTTAAAGATCCATCTGCGATGAAAAGACATGCAATATTCTTTCAGGCTTTTGGTTTTTTGCAATGTTATGATACGACAATTTGTAAGTTACAAGAGTTCAAGAACGATTCATAAATGCAGTAGGCTTCAGAACCATTGTCCTCATTCAAAAGAGGAAAAGTCGCTTGCAAAACGGGGTTTGAGTGTGTCGCCGTTATATCTTTGTACTTAAATTCCAGTATTGATTACTTGTTCTTTTCACCAGCAATTTCTAATCTGTTAAACAAGAACAAAAAATGTTGCGCTCACCTCGTAAATTATTTACAAGCTGTTTACATGATATTAGTTCAGGTATAAATTAACACTGCCGTGTGAGAGGAACGTCTAAAAGTTGTAATTTGTAATTTGTTAAACCACGGAGCATTTAGGAGTTCTTAAGAACTCGTTGAAGCGTTTCCGTACGTTCCAGTTCGAATTGGAATTTGGAAGTGTTGGTTTTTAAGGAGAGGAGGAAACCGGGGTACCCTGAGAAAAACCTCTCGGAGCAAATGAGAGAACCAACGACAAACTCATCCCACATATGGCTTCGACGCCAGGACTCGAACCTGCACTGTAATTTTCAGGGAGTTATAATAACTCCTCTAGTGGGGCTAATTTAACTCCTGACAGTGGAGTTATTTTTCGTGGAGTTATTTTAACTCCAAAAAGGAGTTTAAAGAACTCTTTTTCAGGAGTAAAAGTGACCCCAGATATTGAGGAGTTAAAATAACCCCCAAAAAGGAGTTATCCTGTACCTAAAATTTTTTTACTCCACTTTCGGAGTTAAATTAACTCCAAAAAGAGTAAAAACAACCCCTGTAAGGAGTACAAGTAACCCCATTTCGGAGTAATTTTAACTCCAAGACTGGGAGTAAAAAGAACTCTTTTTCAGGAGTAAAAATGACCCCAAATTCGGAGTTAAATTAGGAGTTAAAATAACCCCCAAAAAGGGGTTATCCTGTACCTAAAATTTTTACTCCATTTTTGGAGTTATAATAACTCCCTAAAAATTACGGTGTGGGCCACATTGGTGGGAGGCGAGTACTCTCACCACTGCGCTACCTTTGCTCCCCCGTTTATCTTAGGAGAGGTATTCCCTGAGCTTTAATTGGCCCTTTCTTCTTTCCGGAGAAGTAGAAGGGAAAACAGCTATTCAAGGCCGCTCCCAAAGTGCGCAACAAAGGCAGGGCACCTTTCTTTCACTTTCGGGACATTTATCTCAATTGTCTCCTGTTACCATCCCCCCCCCCCTCTCCCCCTTGTTCCTTTTCTGCGTCTTCGTGTCCGCTAAGCAAAGAAGAGATTCTTGATTCCGGACACTTAAAGTTCCTATGAAAGAGCAACCAGAATTTTTCGAAAAATGGATAAGAAATTGTCCCTTACTTTCATAATTCTAGTCGCGCGTTAAACATTTTTTTCTTGTTCATATTATTCTTTACTTCTTTGCAAAACAGCAACCCTTAAAACAACAACAAAAAATAATTTACATAAACTTCAAGGTTCAACCCACTGCGGTTAATATATGTATTTTTTCTCCGAAAAGTTAAACCTTATAATGGAAATTACTTTCGTACTTGACTCCTCACCTAAATTACTTGTTTAATATATCATCCCATCTTTCCGAGAAAGAATCAGCAAAACTCCAGAATACGCGTGCGTGCACAGATAAAACTGGTTTATCCAGTATGAAACTTGTCTGACTCATTCAAATCGAGGAATGATCGGCAAATCAAAGGCGTTTGAAGATGTCGGCAGAGTCGCTTCCTCTTTCCGGACTTATCTCGGAAAGATCAAAGCGACTCTGCAAGCAGGGTAAATGAAATCATTCATTCCATGTTTCAAGACGTCAGGTTTGGTATCTTTCAGCTGAATAGAAACATTGCTCTGTCCCCCGTTTACGTCATATTGTTGAATTTATTGGCAGAACCCAAATTTTAACAGTTTTTCCCCTCAAAGTAGCCATAAAGCGATAGAAAAATCCATAAATAGCAAGGAGCGTAATAAAATCGTAAATTTAGCTAATACATTGATAATTGGTGATGTCATGATGATGTCGTTTATTACTAAAGAAGAATTACTGTAACCATCCACGTTTAAATCGAAGTAATCGTGAAGTAAAATAAAATATCTGTGTCTAAAAAGATGCTTAGGAAGCAAAAAATCTTCAAGCTATGAAATTTCGAGATCATATTTTCTTCTTTTTCTCAAATTAGTCACTAAAAAGCCTAGATTACATTAACAGTTATGATAAATTTGATAAAATAATGCTAAATGGAGCTTTAACTAATATGTCCCGATTATGCGTATGAGCAAGCGTCATCTGTTTTTTCCTACATGCTTAGTGACGGGATAATTTTTTGTTTAATAAGGAAAAAAGTTTTTATTGAAAAATTCAAATGTTGAGAAACATGGCAGTCAACACTCGTTCGCCAATAGCGATCATCGCCTACACGGCTTTGAAGTTATTTAACTCTTTCTATTAGTGGGGAGAAGCCCTAAAGCAAAGAGCTTAGCATAGAGCTAATATGTGACCAATAGAGGATCTCGAAATTTATAAAGTTTGTAGAATATTAATTATTTCTTCATCATTTAGTATCATCTTGTTTATTCAGTATTCTGACACTTCATGGTTTTACAAATCTGAATCCCTTTAGGCAACAGAACTATTCTTCGCCCAGTAGTGCATTGTATTTTTTTCTTGTACTTTTCATTTCCATGTCGTGTCGCTATATTATGTCCTGTATTTAATGTCTAAGTTCTTATGAGTACCTCCCAAATAAGCTCCCCCCCCCACCTCAAATGGGTTTGAAATAAATAAGCCTCCGGGGCTCCTGCCCTTGGACGTACACGCAATTTCATACCCTCGCTGTGGTAAAAGTAGGGGGGATTGAAGGAACCCCTCCCCAGAGCTTTTCATAAGTTGCAGTTTTTTGAAACGATTTTGCCTTCAGTGGAAAGTCTTTGATCTTTTCAACAAGAATTAGAAACTAGGTTAAAACCGCAATAGATGAGCACCTTGCATCATTTCAACCACAAGCTTGATTTTTATTGTTGAAAGTACGTTAAAAAAAGATGCATCTTCACTCAAAAATGCCTTGACCACCTGCTACTTGTGAAGTCATATCTCGTAACCATAGTAACTGACCACTTTAACTTGTCTCAAAATGCGCGCGAGGTATAAGCGAAGAACTACTGAAAACGTCAAGTGCTGATGTGTATTTCGTCTAGGAAATAACTCAAAAGAGTCCGGGGGGAGGAGGGAGGGTGGCAACTATCCCCTTCCCCTCTTATACGTCCGAGGGTAAATAGAGGATTTATGGTATGCTTGTTGTTCCACATCAGGGTCCAGCAGAGCGATACAAAGAAAACCTTAAATTGCAAGAAGAAGTGGGTAAAGCTTCACGGACTGTGGAGAAACAAGAAAGACAGATAGAGGCTTTACAGAGTCAAGTAGGAGAAATTAATGAGACAGGACGTTTGACAAAGGCAAAGGTTGGAACAACTTTACGATATTTCAAGTTTTCTTCTTTCTGATTGGTCGCACACGCTGTTTCTTATAAATAGCAAGAATGAAACTAAAAGTCCTCTTTTGTTTTTGCGCATTCTCTGTGAAAGGAAACTTTATTTCCTATTCAACCAATCTAATAGAAAGGGTAAAAGGACGAAATAAAAAGCAAAACAAAACAAAACATTCTTTCATTTTTTTTTTTTCAGAACCTATTGAAAAGAAACTGGAAGTCTGCATTAATCATACTGCTGTTCATGACAGTAGCTGTTCTGGCAACAATAGTATCTGTCTACATACCTCAAAGGTAACTGAGATATCGTTTAACATGTTTTCAACAGCGCGTGCTCTTGTTGGCTGCTTTAATGTTACCTGACCTCTAACATTAAAACTGTTTCCCTCCAAAAGTCCCTCAACGAGAACTATTGGAAAAACTATGACATCTTAGGCTACAGGGCATTGTTACTCGCGAATGTTGACTTCGATTTGCCTAGTTCCTAGGCCTCATTATTACGCGCGGCCAAAGCGTTTCGGGTCACGTGGCTCGCGTCAGATACGTCACTGAAGTGAATTTACCGAGAGGGACTGGGAAAACGCCGTACAGGGAGTAGGCAAGACCGCGATCTGGGTAGGTTCACAAGGTACTCGACGAATTTTCGACCGGCTGAAAATTTTGACTTGACACTTCTTTCATTAGGAAACGTTCAATATTTTCGCTCTGTTTACATGGAACTGATGAACCAGGTTGAATTCAGTGGTTTTACTACCTGCCTTTACCAGGAGGTCCACTTTAGCAAATCCAAAATGGGGTCTTCAAGCTGAACTACCGCGCATTCGAAATTCATGCATTCACGCCTTTGTCGTACAGAAAAATAAACACCGCGCCGGTTAAATTTGTAACCTTTCCGGCAAAAAATGCTTTCCTTGAGCATAATAGGCACACCATTTAAATCATCGATATAATTATATGTCTTGGATTGTAGATATTCTTCTTTCCTGGATGAATCGTCTAGGAATAGATTGCTCAATTCCCTGATGCCTTTTGCACAAGGAAAAGACGGCAAATCATTCCTAAACTTTGGTAAGAACGTGCTTGAACTGATGATAAACGTTCAGATGGTATAGTATTGGGTAAACTAAACGATAAAAAGGTTATATGGGTAATAAAGAAATATAAAATAGAAGGATTTCTGTTTAGCTTCGCTATAGTTTATACATGTTCGGTAAAAAGTGGCGGGGGGATATACATTATCTGGCCATGAGTTCCAGTGATCGCATAATGTTGGTGGAATTGGAATTATCGAATCGCTAATATTTTTGGCGGTATACAAAATTAGTAGTAGAGTAGGGATGGAATAAACCATTTTTGAACGGGAATCTCGTTGGTGAAAAGTGAAATACATTAACTCCGATGTGTTTGTCTCATTAATAAGCTTAGGTGCTATTTTTTAGGGGTTTCTCCAGTTTGACAGATTTTCTAGTTATAATTAGGTCGGTGAATATCTTTGTTTTTGACTGGCTGACTATAATCAAAGAAACGCATTTAGAGGTTGATTCATAGAGTCGAAGAAATAAGCGCTAACTGGGATGTGACTCAAAATTACTAAGCCGTAATGTAATTATACAAGTTATATTTCGTCCAACAAATCGTTTCAGTTCCACTTGACTGAATCATGGTGCGCAAATCGTTCATATTAATCAGGAGAAGACAAACTAGCTTTTTCTAGCACTAAACACAATTACGTATTTACTCAACTCCCCACCCTGCTCCTCTACAATTCAGTTACTTCTCTTCTCCTCAAATTTTTATTTTCTTTCTCTTTAAGTCGATTGACTTGCATAACGGTAATTTCCGATAGGGCAGATACTAAAAACCCTAAGCTTAATACTGATAATTACAAGACATTCAGGCAATAGTTTCTGACAAAAGAAATCGCTGTAAATTTTCCTCAAAACTTTAGCCAGTGGGTATGGGCAAATAATGTGTTTTCCTTTTCTTCAGCAACACCAAGCGTTACTGCGCTTTTCGCAAACATGCGAATTCTGAAGTTCAAAAGCCAACTGACGTTTGCGTTTTTCGCTGCCGTCAATCATCTTAACGGACCTCTTAGGAAACAAAACTTTACTTTAACGGGTTCAAAAGGTCAAGGTTTGTGATTTGTGATTGGCGGATTTCGATGCGTTTTGTGTGTTTCTGTGTTTCAAGGTTTGTTGTTTGTGATCGTAATTATGATTGACGGCAGCGAAAAACGCAATTGTGAAGGCGGCTTTGAACTTTAGAGTTCGCATGTTTGTGAAAAGCGCAGTAAAGCTTTTCCAAGGTTGTTATCCACTTGAGGAAAAGATAAGACAAAGCCCTCTTGATCGCCCCTGCCCATGCCCTTAGAACTGTATAACCAGTAATCAAAAATTCTCCAATTTGACTGTTGTTTCCAATTTTTTGTCTCCAAATGACCACTTAAGGATGGCGGTCTGACTCTCAGCTTCAAGAATGTCAAAATGCTTACTGGAAAAGATCCTTCCCAGATCTTGATTACGCCCTCTTTGGATACGACATTTTAAAGGGGTATCCACTGGCAACAGGACATGATCCTGGCTTTACACACCCAATATTCCTAACAGACTACACTCCTGAGAAGCAGACTTCTGACTGTCGCTACAGTGTTCCAGCAGGTTTGGTTGTTGTGCCTGATGTGTCGTGTGAAACTACTTTCTCCTCCAAGATTATACGAAACAGACTGGAGATGTCACAGTCCCTTGAGGCAGCCGCGAACGTTGAAGGTGCTCCTCTAAGATATTTCAAATAATTATCCATGAATGATTACTTGAATGGTCTTTCAATTGGCCATGATTTAACCCATATTTTAACAGTGACTCTTTAAACTTGTTTTTAAATTCATCCTTGTTTCAGAGGGTCGAAGGAATAAAACTAACGAAACAGCATCGGTATCCATTGCTAAGAATCGAGATGATTTCTTTTGTTTCATTTGTTACATATCGAATATGATTTCTGAAATAAATTTTAATTTAACCTAGGCTGATTCCCCATTTCCTTTGTCTTCTAGCTCAAAGAAACTAAGAAAACCGATCGAGAATCAACCTTGGTTAAAAAAAAATTAACCTGAAAACAAATTTAACCTGTAAAACATTCCTCTAATCCTCACAGCCAACAATAAACTCCAATATATCAAAATTGGTCTATTTAGGTCTGAAATCACATCATGTGATTCCAAATGGAAACCGCGTAATTAGCCCATTCAATTTTGAAATCAAACGTATGACTTCAGACCGAATTACACTCCGTTTAGTTTAATTTCTATTGTAAATGTGCATCTCTGTTGTTCCTTTCCTCGGAGCATTGTGAAAAGTTTTTCTTAAAAGTAGCGATTTAAAGATTGAACCTCTGTTAAGTTGAGCCCTTCTTTCACATACTTAATATTGAGGTCTTAAAAAAATATATACTTTCTGTTGCTGGCTAGCACCGCTCCTTAACTAAAATAAACAGATAAAGAATCCATATCTTAAAAACTCAGCTAACATTTACGGCCTGTTTGTTTGGAGCTGGGCGACCCCAGGTAGGTGAGGTAACCCGCTTTGGCACATTTTTCATGGCAAAAGCAAAGCAAGATATGATGAAGTGTTTGTTTTAACTTTAGTCTTTTAACTCAAATCTAAATCATAGAGAAACCTGGTCACCCAAGTGGCGACTAAACCAGAATTTTTAGTCGCCAAGGAAAAAATGTTGGTCGCATTGGCGACCGTATCAGTCGCAATTTCGAGCCCTGAAATATTGTTCTCGATTTTATGCCCCCATTTCTTCGTTGCCTATCAAGCCAGAATTACATAGCAAAACTCGGAAGGTATCAACATGAATCAACGTTTTTTTAGTGAATCAAATTTCTGTTGATATTATTTGAAGAACACCTGTCATATTTATAACCTATTCATAACATATAGCTTTATAGCGCTCTATTAATTTTAATATCAATAATTTTATATCAATACTAAAACCATAAACTGGTGCACGTTGTCGCAGCGTGAAGTCTTAATTAGAATCCTAGCGCTTTTACAAAGTAAGACGTTACTTGAAACAAAAAATTTCACATTAAAATGTTTAAAACAGCACTATTCGGCTGTCCATATAAATCCCTCATTTTAATTTGCTCACGTTTACAAGTTAGGTGGGGTGACCCGCCGCATGTTACCTCACCTATCTGGGGTACCCCACCTCCATGTAAACAGGCCCTTAGACAACATTTTCAACAAATAGAACCCATGTTGCCATGCATCTTTTCAGTAATAGAACACAGATGACGGCAAACGATGGTAAGAACAAAATAGCTTCACACGGGTCGCATGCCGGAAGTATGTTAGTGATGCTATGTCATGTTGTTTTGAATTCTTCTATGATCTGTTACTAACCGAGGCGAGGCAAAATGAAATGTATTTGTTGTATACAATGAACAGAAAAGCAAAACGAAAAACTTACCACTTAAGGCTGGACTTTTTAAGGATTTTTCCAGTTTAAGAATTTTGCATATCGCTAAAGAGCACCTTTCAAGTCAGTGTATTCGTTCTGGTCTTTGTAAACAGCTTCTTCTTTTAGAAAAAAACAGAAACAAAGAACAAGATTTGCCCTTGGTATCACAGATTAAGTCTTCCGTGTTTATGTACTCTACTAAGTCATGGGGAACGATCAATCACAGCACGCATCGGTAGCACCAAGCACATTATAGCGGAGCTCCCGCGCGCGAACGGCGCGTGGCGGAGCCCCATTGCTAAGATAAATTGGTAACCTATGAAAGCAAGAAAATTTCGTTATGCCGTAGCGTACGAAAGCCGACCGTCTGTACACCTATTTCATGTAAGCCGATGCCAAATGTCAGGTTATTTTGGCGAGAAAGTGTATGGCCACCCGCGTCTTGTGAACTAGAGACATCTAAAGAGTCAATAAAGACGAAAACGGAAGGCGGAAAATGTTTTTGTATCCGTGTTGTCTAAAGTATTAGGTTTAGATTAATTGTCCTATCCACAAATTCGGAAAATAGAAAAAGAGAAAGACAGAGAAAAAGAGAAAGTAAGGCGACAGGCCAGCGAAGCTCGACGAGAAAAAGAGCTAGAACGAGATAGAAAAAACAAAGGAGACATTTTTTGTTGGAGGAACAACATGAAATTTTGCAGCGGCGGTGAGAAATGAGCGACAATGAAAAAAAAGTGAACAAGAACACGTTCGACATTTCCTTCATAAAACGTGTAACCAGGAAGTTTCTGGAAGTTCTAGTTTTTAGTCGTGCAAAACAACGGCAAAGAAATGTACAAAAAAGTGTGCTGCACGTGCAAAGTTGCTTTTTTGCTAATTAGACTTATTGTTTTTTTCGCCGTTCTCGTCGCCTTCGCCGCTTAGCATTAGGGAGCTTAAGCAACTACGACGACGACGACGTCTTCAAAAAACAATAGGTTTAATGATCAAAACAACAGCTCTGCACGTGCATCACGCTTTTTAGTACATTCCTATGACGTCCACTGCACGACTACGACGTGAAACCTCCTAATTTGACGTTTTATGGAGGACGTGGACATACGACGACAATTTTCCTTCCTCTTTTTGAACTTGAATAAAATCCTTACTAATTCAACTCCAGGAAAAGTCGCCTGCACTTGACATATTGAGCGGGTCGAAATAGACGCGATTAAGTTTGAAAGAACCCAAATTCATTTTTTTAGCAACGTTTTCACTACCGTCATCGTCGTCGTTGCTTAAGGCCCCTATTATATGATTTTATATTGTTTGAGCAAATTAGTAATGGTAACAGGACTGAGTGGAGTCCAATTCGGCCTGTAATCATACGAGTGATTAACGAAATCGGACGACCGCGTAGCGGGAGTTCGATTTGTTTAATCACGAGTATGATTACAGACCGAATTGGACGATACGAAGTCCTGTTACCAATTAATCATAACTTTAACAAAATTTGTGATATAATAGGCTATTTTTTATATCAAAACACAAGAAATTCGAAATTTTGTTTTGCTAGCAGTGAAAAAAAAGCCATTTAAGCGCGCGCGTGATGACGCGTACTGTCCAATTACTTAGGCATGACGCGTACTGTCCTATTAAACTGTCCAATTAAGGCTGAAATCAGGGCAGTTGATAGGCAATCAGATTTTACAATTTTTTAATAGTTATGATTATAAATATTATTGAGAGCTTCGCTTTTAGCCCTGCCTAAATCTAATTATTATATACGTAACCTTAGCTTACCTTAAAAATAGCTCCGTCCACCGATGAGCGTGTCAGAAATCACTCTGTTGTAAAATAATTAACTGTTAGAACCAACAGGCTGTTTGCTTTTACCATAGGTGGTGGATGGGGCTTTAAGTTTTCTGCAAGTGCAAGCTACAAAGAATCCGTGGCACAAATGTCGTCTGGAGAGTTCTTGTACATAATTTCCCAAGCGCAGTGCCGTTATTACTTCAGCAAAATGGACGTCACCGATCCACCGCCATTTCATCCGGGTTTTGTGCGCTGGGCAAAGAGTCTGGCTAAGCCAAATTCTAACAAAAATGATGTTATTCAGTTCATTAAATACTACGGAACTCATTTCGTGACGGAGGTAACATTCGGAGCAAGATTCACGAAAAACCACAAAGTCAGTCAAACAAAATATGAAGAGCTGAGAAGTAAGAAAGTAAGCGTTGAGGCGCAAGCCAGTTATTCAGGGGCCTTTAGTGTTGGAGGAGGATTTTCAATGGATAAAGAGCAGAGATCTGCGGCTTCCAATTTTCAGAAGTCAGTGCAAACAAGCACCATCACTGTAGGTGCAGCCCCTCCTAGTAACGGTGATGCCTTGACATGGGCTTCTTCTGTCCAAGAGAATCCGGTGCCAATAACATACTCCCTGTCCGCCATCCACAACCTGTTTACTGAGAGATATTTCAAGCACCTTCCTGGAGTTAACATAGGTGTTGTGAGAGAGAAGCTGATTAATGCATCCACGAATTACTGCCAGTCTTTGAAAGACCAGGGACTGGTAGATTCGTGCGATGACAGCATTCATCTGGGAACTTCTTTGCAAGGTGTTAGAGTTCGCCAATTTGGTAATTCTTTTAGATTTTTTAAGATATTGTTTTACAATGGCCCTTATGGTTGATTACGTCACACGAACAAATTTCACCACCAAGCTTCGTTTCTCAGCAAAATTCTTCGCATTGTGAGTAAATGAGCGTGGGTATTCTTTTCAACTCCGCTTCCATCGAAATTTATTTCTGCAAAACTCTGCAATTTTAAAATTTCAAAACGTGGCAGGGTGGTGAAATGTTCTCATGTGACGTAAACATGCATGAGGGCTATTAAAAAGGTCATGATTATTCAGTGTGTTAGGAGTGACAAACGCTGGTAATAATTTCTTGAACTTCTCCCAGGGGTTGATCCGGATTTAAAGTGAAAGGGGCGAAAACCAAAACCCAGAAAAATCCCTGGGGTTCCGAACAAAACTCACAAAAATCCCTGGACTAAACATTGCCCCCCAAAAACTCCCGTGCCGAATTTTCGACACTTGAAATTTCCAGAAAGCATTAAATGCCTGATTAAATGATGTAGGCCGAAAAACAAAACGTTGGAAGTTGAATTTTTATGCTTGCTTATACCAGCCGAAGTTATTAAGAACATTCAGATTGTTTCAACCCCCAAGAATCCCTACTTAAATCAAGGCACCCCAAAAAATACTTGCCAAATGTTCTTGCTCCAAAAAATTCTTCGATCATCCCCGTCACTTGAACTTTAGAATATCCCCCCTGGGGAAATTCTCCGTGTCAATTATGCTCTTTTTTTTTAGGCTATAGGCATTTGCCAAACGTAGATGAGACTGAGTGTAGAGCTATCTGCCTTCTGGAGGAAAATTGCGTTGCAGTTCAGTTCACCTTCCGGAGGGGGTATAAGCTGCTCGACACGAAAGGAAAGTTTCAAGTTCTAACCGATAACGCAATATTGTCGAAGACAGTCGTGTTTCTGCCGAGACTGCAAAGAGAAAAGAAGAACTTTATTTTGTATCAACTCAAAGTCAAAGCAAATCAGCCACGCCGGGGGCAATTGAAGGCCTTTAATAGTACACAATGCGCTTCCTCTTGTTCAAAAGATGCTTTTTGCCAAGCCTTTGTTATGTGTAAACCTGAGCAAGGAAGTTGGTGTGGTAACGCTAAGGACACCGTTAACTGCCTGTTGTATTCCAAACAGCAAATAACAGCTGTTGAGAAAGATATGCATTCGGAGATGCATTTTGTGTGGAAAGATTACACTCAAGTTACGGAGACGTAATCAGATTGATAGATTCTTAGACAAGCCAAAAAAATGAGTATAGTCTGAATGTCCTTTTTTTCATGTGTTTTGCATCGTTACGTTTTCCTTAAAAATATGGATAATTCATTTTCAGATCTAGAGAACAGGTGAGAATTTTCAAGCTAAGCATATCAATGACTATTTAGAGTATTCACTTAGTTAGCGGTATCTCGTTATTTTCAACCCACTTCTCATGAGATGAGACACTTCGTTTGCTTGAGGTAAATGTATCACAACAAGAGTGTTTTACTGCAATTTCTCGAAGACTTACTGTTACTTTTTATTGACTCTTTTTTTGCTTAAATTTTTCTAATGAAACCGCTCCTGGACATGTTTTTGACTAATTTCATTATTAAGACTACTACATGTATGTAGTTTTAGCCAACCATAAAGGCGAAGCTTTTCGTTGTACACTTTAAATTTACGTAAAATAATAAACGTTTACACTTTGCAAAGAAATCCACAAATTTATGATTAACTTTTTATCAGGCCTACATATTTTTTACCTTTGAGGGAGGTGCCGGGCTAGGTTATACATGAAAGGAAAAATCTTTCTTGACACGCTAACGAATCTCTGGCGCGCACTCCCAGCTTTTTGACTGTTTCACTCCGTTCTTTTTACCTATTTCCCCCACGTACCCACTCCCCACCGTATCGCTTTCTAATCTGCGTTCGTTTGTTGGTCGGTTTTACAATGTGATTACATTGATTTCACGATACTCTTAGAAGACGGCTTATTTATACGTTACGGTGTAGTGTAAATATAGTAACGACACAGAACATCGAACATCGCACAAGGGCGGTTGGCCGATAAGGCGGTTACGTGATCAACTAGATCCTAGTCCACAATCCTTAATATTTACTCTTGTTTTAATTCAGTTCAATCCTCACTCCAACTTATTCACTTCTGCTACGCTCTGAAAACCTGTTCATTTAGTTGTTTCTTTTTAAAGGCTATATTCACACTATACCTGATAGATTTGGGACGGGCACGAAAATCATTCTGGACTGGGTTCCTGTTCACCCATAAGGTTGGTAATTTCGGTGCCACAGCGAAGGTGAAAACATAGAAAAGGGGAATGCGGGAACCCATTAAGACGGAAGTAAATATCCAGGAGTTAAGGTTAGGATTCACAGAACCGAACCATAGCTCTCGGCCAAACACAAAGGCACGATGTTCGATGTGTGTGAAAAGACAAGCTATCCGATTTAGTGTGAATATAGCCTCAAGACTGGTGTGGTGCGGCTGCGCCCCGTTACAGAAATCGCCCGAAATCTCCTTGAACTGGATGATTTCGGTAAAGGCGTATACTAAGAACTACTCGGTGTGATGTGAACATAGCCTCAGGGCCTGTTTACATGGAGATGGGGGACTCCAGGTAGGTGAGGTAACGCGCTTAATTAGGTGAAGTAACTCGCCTGTCCATAATATAATCTCTCATCTTAGTTTGATCACGTTTACATGATAGGTGGGGTGACCCGCCACATGTTACCTCACCTACCTGGGGTCCCCCACCTTCATGCAAACAAGCCCTTTTATTAGAGTATTTTATACTATATAAAGATCTGTTTGTTTTCCGTGCGGAAATTTCCTACGAATAACAAAATCCGAGTTTAAGCTCGGACAATTAACCTAAACATTCATTAAATTGTTCTATTTTCTTTTTCAAATATATTGCATTTGGTAGACATTCCTGTGATTGCTCAGTAAATTGTCTCAACCCATATCTACAACTTTTGAAAAGGATCAGTTCATCGTCGCTGCCGGAACGACAGTCTTAAAATTAGTACACTTTCCAGTCTGAAATCGTGGTTAGTCATAAGGAGGTGACTGGTCGAAGTTTCCGAAAGGCGCGCGATAGACATTAGGCTGATTTAGTGACAGAACGGGAACGTCAGTTGACGACGGCGCGCGCAAATCAAACAACTGGCTTGACCAATGGCAGAGCGGCAAATTGAGCACCGGAAGTCGTGTTTAGTCTTTTCCGCGCGCTTTCAAGTCGTCAACTGACGTTCCCGTCCTGTTGCTAAATCTGCCTAATTTTATTATAAACAAGACAACCGCACTCACGCCAGGAGGAGGTGGAGGAGGAGGAGGAGGAGGAGGAGGAGGAGGAGGAGGAGGAGGAGAAGAGTCATGAATGAGAGGACGTCAGCACACAAAAGCGCCACTGACAGCCGCCCTCAGTCCATTTATTAGTTTTCTGTACCCACCCAACCCATTATGTGAATGATGTGATATGTAAAGGTTGGCCAAACCACCGGGGTCTACGACCCCTACTCTTTTCGAACTGTGGTGTGGGTTCTTTTACGTCCCACAACAACCAGGTAAGTGTAAGTGCTGTGAGACGGGACACACGGTTTTTCGTCCTTATCCGAGAAGACTAGAAAGTCTAACCGTTTGCAGACGTCATTACAAAGGCAACACTTTCTTCTCAGTTATTTAAGGACCCTGAGTGTTGCTCGGGCCCGGGTTCGAACCCATGACCTACTGCTCTCTCAGCAGACTGGCACTCTCCCAACTGAGCCAACCACGCATCTCACAACCGCAACTCCATTCAATTTCAAGCACAGTCCAACCACAGTCCTGTCACAGTCCGCGTTCAGGATTAGCTCTGATAATATTGTGGTGCCATCTTCTCTTCGAAATCGCTTTATCTTCGAATGTGAAATTGTAAATCAAAAATTTCAGAACTGTACTACTTGCAGGGGCGGATCTAGGGGGAGGGTGCAGGGGGTGCGCACCCCCCCCGAGATGACCTGCGGTTTTCTAATACAACTGGTATTCAGCAAAAAAAAAAACTATGTGGCTTATTGGTGTTGAAGTAGAGCAAGAGACGAGTGCACCCCCTCCTAAAAAAATCCTAGATCCGCCCCTGACTTGTTTCGGTGAACTGCATTATTGGCGCGGAAGACAATGGAAAACAGGTTGCGATAATGCACCACCAGTCTTGTCAGGTGATTTGTAGGACCTACTCCTGTAATCATGTTTAATAGAAGAGATCAGAGCGTTCTTTAAACGTGTCCCTTTTACCTTATTTCATTTAGTTCTCTCCAGCAAAAAGGTAACCACAGTTCGTTGTTGATAATGACGTACTATCACCAACGCCAGCTACCTTTTGGCACGAAATTTTTGCGAAAGTGTATTTTTGCGGATTGGTGATTTTTTGTGTTTTCCGGGAACTAATTTTTGCGATTAGGACAGAATGTTTGTTTTTTTTTTTACTGCGAATTAATTTTTGCGATTTTCAGAAAATTAATCAGGATCAGTATCCAGCATTGATAATATTTTCGTTTTTGTTAATTACGTGCCAAAAAAAACCAACAATTATACTAAGGTATGCATACCCTATGTAAAACCTGTAATTCATTGTATACCGTTTTGTTTGTGAATGAAAGAGGCAAGTTGCAATTGTAATTGAACATACACGATTTCGTATTGATAACCCGCCCCTAGTTGTTAAACAAAGCTTAGCAAGGTTTGCTACTTTTTTCACGGGTTATTTCTTATAGTTTAAGCGTATGATTAGGTAAAAAAAGCATTTTTTTGCGGTTTAGTTAGACTTAGCTTCTAGCCAACATTGTTACGTTAAAATGGAAGTATTGGACTAATTCTTTGTGGGTGTTTTTGTTTTTTTGCATTTGCCAGAGGTTAACCTCTAACACCTGACAAGAATCAAGGTAAGTGTTCTCTTTTTGGTATCCAAACGCAGACATGTGAATGGATAATACCAAAACGTAAACGGCGGGGAAAAAAGGATAAGATGACTATCGCAATCTGAAGAAGAATTCTCTTGCTCACTTCAAAACAGTTTTCTTCTGGTGAGACGCGTTCCTAGGGGCTTTATCTGCTACATTGCTACTTTTAGGTAGGTATAGTTCTTTGTGCGGGGAATTATTTTCTAACATACACAAACCTTTTAAGCCCTAAACATCTAAACTCCAATTCCCATAGACATTTTTCGAGAAATGAAACAAATAAAATCGTTCGAGGTCAAAGCTGACAACAGTACATCTAAATTATAGTTTTGAGGAGGAGCTGACACGGACCAGTTTAGAATGCTGATAACGTACGCATTATGTTGGCTTCTTCTTGTTCAATGCGTGGATGGCCAAATGTAAGTTCTTAATTGTTCATGTGTACAAATCATTTCAAAGCTGTCTATTTCTATTCTCATTAAAAGAATGGAATGGATGTGTAATAACTGAGTGCATATGTTTGTTTATCAGTGTTCACGTCAGGCTACAATTTCTCATTCTCAGTTCTTTTATTTCTGTAAAATCAAAGAATGAATAAATTAGGAACGTATACAAGCAAGCAATGCATCGCACGCCAAAATAGATATCGAATTATTTACTCTTGAGTCTTCTTTGAAGAATCAAATATCTCTTCTATTCCATAAATTATGTACCAGACTGAGCTAATCAGTTGACAAGACTGGTGATGCATTATTGTAACCTGTCTTCCTTTGTTTTCCGCACCAATGATGTGGTTCACCCTAAGAAGTAGTACCTACTTCAATTTTTAATTTATTGTTTCACATTCGAAGATGAACAACTCTCGAAGAGTTTCGAGACTCAAACCATGAAAGGATGGCACCAATAATATAGGGGCTAATCCTGAACACACATGCAGAGAAATACGCCTTAAACCAATCGGAAGTTGAAAGGAAAATAACTATTTATAGCTGGTTTTCATTAGCCAATCAAGAGTCAAAGATAAGGGTACATCGTGAGCACAGTTGATCCTTGAAGCCCCAAGAGTTCCTAAGTACAAATGTCTCGTTTCCATACACCATCAGTTAGATGCACTTCAGTATGTACTATGGAACAGATTATCTCGTGTTTGCGTCCAAGTTTATACTATCAGGCGCCGTCCAGACGTATCCATTTTCGTTGAAAACGCAAAAGTTTTTTTTTCCTCCGTTTTTCAAAAATTGTCTTTCCACACGTAGAGTTTTTGTGTCGTTTTTGTCCGTCCAGATGTGTCCGTTTTCGTTTGAAAGCGCAAAAGCTTTTCCCGTTTTTGATAATTTATCCGTCCACACGTGGCGTTTTTGATACTGTTACATCATCGTTTCAAAAAGCTCCGTTTTCAAGAATCTATACACGAAAACACGAAAACAGCGCTATCACACGTGAGCCCATCGCTTCCGAAAAGTTCCATTTTTTTATAATACTCAGATATTTTGATCAAGACTGCCTTTTCCTCGTAATAATTTGACTGTATTCCTTCGCAGATGGAAACTCTTCGAAGGTTGTTACAGGATGACGCAAATACCGGAATCCTCAGTCCAGAAACTGGAAGATAGATTAAACAATAACGGGTGCATTAATTTCTGCCGTGACAAAGCGTTTCCTTTAGCAGCTACTTCCAACAAGCAATGTGTGTGTCTGAACAGTCTGCCAACAACATTGTTGGCTATTTCGACGGATGGAGATGCAGCTTCCGGTCCATCAAGTTCATGCAATATTAAATGTCCGGGAGATGCTGGAGAGAGTTGTTTTAGAACCAGTTGCTGTGGTGGTCCGGAGCAAGCCTACAGTATATATGCCACGGGTGGTGAGTGGTGTATTATTCAACTGAAATTACGCCTCGAAGATCGAGGCGAGTAGTCAAAAAGATTTCTGCCACCCTAAAAAAAGTTGTTCAGGAGGTAATGAGGGGTGAAGGTATCAATTTTCTCTTTATCGTAAGGAGCGAAGATATCGATATCATCACTTTTGCCATCGCTTTTTGCTCCTGGGCAATTTTAGACGAACTAAAACATTTAGGCCCATGGATCACGATCGTTAGTCTACGGCAGTGTGCGAGATCATTCTCGTCTTGATGATCTTCAGGTCACCTTCAGACATGGGTAGTAAACATTCGGAAAAAAAAAAGATCCAAGTATCGCCTCAGTTTTTGTAACTTGATCTATTTTGTGATCAATAGAACATGGGAGCGGGAATAATTTTCTCGTGTTCACCCCCCGTCCATCCCTCAGTAGTGTATCAGCTATACTTTACGATCTTTGATATTTTACCGAAAACTTGATTCTTGCAGTCTAGTCGAAGGTTGTTCGTGTTACATTTTCATGTCAGTGCTGGTTCTTGCCAACAGAGGTTGACTACTTGGGACAACTATTGAATCTTCTGGAGAAGCACAAAAACACCATTCAGACCAATGCACTTGGACTTCCAGAGGGAGGAAGATGTATGTACAGAAACTTGTGATCGAATCGATACAGTGATTACAATTGTTATCAAGACCGTTATTAAGTTAGTCAGAGAGCCACAGCCCTTAATCTGCTTCACCCCTCCACCCTCACCTCTCTACCAACTTATCCTAGTACTTTACCCCCCTAGTCAGCTTTTCCCTTCACCTCTTCAACGATCTCAGTAAGCACCTCGTGCACTCTCCGCTTTCAAGCTCATGAACACTTTAATCCTCAAGTCGACAATCTAATTCTCCCAGCATTTTTAACTTCGACTGAGTGATTATTTCGGTAGAATTGATAGTCTGACCAGCTCATACCTAAGCAATGGAAGTGAAACGTTTGCAGTTGGTCAGGCGTGGCCTTGAGTAAGACGTGAAAGGTTAATGTTATGGTCCTTACTCCTCGGTGGTACAAAGGGGTTGATCTTTTAACACGATGTGGATAAAAATGTTTGATCCGGTTTAGCCAGGCCCTTTAATATATAACTCGCTGAAATAGCCTCAAATCATCACAAAACAAAAAGGAAGATACAACACTATGTAGTTACGTGCGATGCGCATATGCTCATTCAACTTGCGCTATATAAGTTTTTAATGAGTATTAAATTATTATTATTATTATTATTATTATTATTATTATTAAAGTTCGCATCTATCACAAAAAAAGTTTTACTTCATGCCTGTAGAATTTACCTGTTGAATTTCCATACATATCCTTGTAATGATGATAATACTCAAGGACGGTGACCCAAGACCTCGGGAGGGACTCCCCTATGAAAGGGGCGGGGATGCTCGTCGCCTCGCTTAGGGGTGTAAATTTCAGATTTTGGTCTCGCTTAGGGTGTTCTGGGCAAAACACCATTATATTTAGCCGTAAAGGTCTCTTTTAGGGTTGCACTCGAAGAAATATTAAAAAATTATATATTTTCAATTCGTTTTATTTACTCGATTCATGTAATCAGAGTTTAAAATGATCGCTTTTAGGGGTAAAAAAGGGTCGGGCCACGCCCAGAGTTGCCTCCTTTAGGGGTTTAATTCAAAGTTTCTGACGAGCATCCCCGCCCCTTTTATATGGGAGTCCCCCGGGGAGCGGGGTTAGCTGTAGCACAATCTCTTGGTAAGGGTTAATGGTATCAGGCTGTGCTCGTCAGGTATTATTTTCGTATTCTTATTCTTGTTATTTTATTTTTACAGTTTCATACTGGGTGGAATTCTACTCGCGAATGCCAAAAAATAAAGTGAAGCGATGCGCCTTTGTCTCAACTGTTGAAATAGAGAACTATCAAAGAGTTGACAAAGTGCAGAAGGGCTGCGGTGATTACACAACATCCACTGACGATCTCAAGCGAGTAGACTTCAATGTGATTTCAGTTAAAAAGGAAGCCAGCAAGCCTTACCCTACAAGAGAGACACCTCTTACCGGTGATTTTGACGTAGAATTGGACAACACTGGAGGATCCACTGAGAAATCATTCACTAAGTCAAGAACAGTCGAGGCAACATCAAGCCAAACATACTCTGTCGAGTCGGGAACTTCAAGCAGTTTTACCGTCGGGGCTTCTGCGAGTGCAGGATTTGAGTCACTTGGAGCTGAGTTTTCAGTTGAGCTTTCCACCGAGTACTCAACGTCAGGCTTCTACAACAGTGGATACCAGAAAACTTCACAAGAAAAAATTACCACCGCTTTTCAGATTACGTCCAAGGTGCCTGCCGGAGTCAGAACGATCGCCCGCTTTTCCAAGCGCACCGAACCCCTCACATTAAAGTGGGGAGCCACTATCCATGCAGAAGGGGAGATCAAACTGAGTTATACTTTTGGAAAGTTTGGTCATCCAATAAGGACAAACCAGACCGTCATAGTCTCTTTGTCGCAGGTAAGTGGTGGTAAGACCTCGCCATTGTTCTTCGAATCCGCCGAATTTCCGAACGCTGAGGAGGCAGGCTGACCAGCGTTATACTGAACCATAAATAATTACAACATTAATCGATATTGCTGTGTCTGATAAATTAAAGGTAACTTCGCCGAAAACGATGCGAAACAAGAAAGATGCCAAGATCTTCTGCAAAGAGTGATTATATTCACCGTGTAAGGAAAAAAAAAATAGAAAGACGAGACTGGTACGCGGTTAATGGTAGACGCTCTCAGTATAAGATTGATACTGAAAAACTTGTAGAAACGCCTGAAGTAAATGAAATTGCTTTTTTTTTAGGCAATACCTTCTCGGCAAACCGTTTTTTACACCATGGGGACGGTAAGAGCAGAGGCCAGGGTTGTTATAGGAGCGAAGATGGAGTCCTATGATGCGCAGGGGAACTTAATCGAATCAAAACCTGCGAGCTCATCGCAAGTCAGTGAAGTTCGAACCAGACGACAAAGAGACCCTGGTCATCGCCGTTCTTTCCGTAAGATGAATTCCAAGCACATGAAAAACGCACATGGTGGGGGATACTAAACATCTGAGATTTGGAGGAAATAAGGTTCAAATTCTACAGCGCTAGCATCTTCAGTTATGTGTCCCAGGCATTGGCTGTAGCATATTTCTAGGTTTAAATTTATAGCTACAAGTTCTTGTTTGCATGAAGATATCATAACTACGTTGAAAAACTTGCGGCAGAGATAATAAAAAGACAAAAAAACAAACAATTGTTTTTTTTATGTGTGATATCATAACTTTCCCGGAATATTCACATTGGCAGAGTTTATACTAGAGACGAATTTGCCGTCTCAGACAGATAATCCGTCTCTAGTATAAATTCTATGCTACGACGAATTATGGAGCAAAATTCGTTTGAGGCTGATTCGTCTGTTAGCACGTCTTGAAGACACTGGTAACAGACGGTAAATTCGTCTTAGACGGATGATCCGTCTCTAAATTTATACCTAGACGGAACGTAGACGGTTTTTTGACGAAGTTTCCAGATGAGAGGGACTGGTTTCTATATTTTCGCAGTGTTTCCTGTTTCTCGCGTAAAATATCTAGACAAATTATTCGTCAAAACTCGTGGTCGGATTTATACTTAGACGAATTATCCGTTTGGGCCCGGTTCCTGGAAAGATGATTAAGTTTAACCCAAGATTAAACCAAATTTTAAGAAGGGTTTTCTCGTCTAAGAACATGTAACTCAAGCTTTCAAAATACTGTTGAGTCTCTACTCTGAGATACAGTAATGAAAACACAAATTGTTACTCCAAGCAATGCGTAGGAAGGTAAATACAAAAAGAGCAACAAAATTTTTCATCCTGGATTAACGCCAATCGGCCTTTCGGGAACCGGGCCCTGACGGATAATTCTTTCTAGTTCGTCTCTAGTATAAATTCGGCCCTTGAGGCCCAGCAGTTAGATCAGTATTACACCTTTTCTCTTCATTAACAGAAAATGAATTTTCATTTTCATTTACAGACATTCAATAACATGTATGGGATTTCAATTTCGCGAAGAAATTTTAGTAGTCCTTAATTGCTTCATTGGTGAGGAGAACGTGTGAAGTGACGTTCAATAGCACTATTTTGGGATTATTATTTTCACGTTGTCGATGGTCTACAGCGAGTAAGGAAAATCAACACCACATATTGCAACGTCGTTTACATTTAGAGAATTTCATTCATATAATTACACCTTTTGCCCTTCATTAACAGAAAATAAATTTTCATTTACATTTTACATTTTAAGGAATCCATTTTTGCGAATTCCAAGAAATTTTCATTTTAGTTATTCGTTGCTTCATTAAGGAAAACGTGTGAAGGGCACATTAAGTAGCATTGTTTTGAGATTTCCATTTTCAAGTTGTGGATAGTCTATAGCGTCTTCAGAAAATGAATAAAGTGTATTGCAGTATCGTTCACATTTAGAGAATTTCATTAAAAACAATCGCATTATTTTACTGTTGTTGCCATCGTGATTATATTTGTATGATATGTAATTTGCAAGTGTACAGCTAGCGCACTGACCTCCCAGTCACACCTATCACTATCCACCGTTGCGACGTTCTCTGTAACATAGTCACAGGTTTTGTTCATGTACACTGTGCACCTTCGTCTCTAAGGCTTCTTCGAGCCAATCGATTTCTTTCAGTAACGTGTCTACAAATGCGGCTAAAGGTACATAACGTTTTCGTTTTACGTACATCTGCAGTGCATGCTTACCTGTTTGGCGTTTTTCTTCGTTCAAAATACACTAAAGCACGATATTATAACGGCAAGTATTGTAAATGAAATTCCCTAATTGTAAACGATGTTGCAATACTTGTTACTGATTTTGGAAAGACACTATTCCTGGCTTGCAACCACGGGACAAGGCGGTCATGTTGGTGGTATGTTGGTCTTTACATGAAGATAGGGATTAGTTCCCAGAGGAGAGAAATGCTTTTGTTCGTCACCAACATAGCCGCCGTGACGTCACGTGCAAACTAGCAATAGCTTATTCACAAAATAAACATGAAATTCCCAAAACGTCATTGAATGTCACGTCACACCTTTTCCTCACTAATGAAGCAACGTATATTAAAAGTAAAATGACACTTCCTTCACGAAAATTTTTTCAGGGTCATACCGCACAGATGAATGAGCCCATCCACACGTACCTGGTGAATTAGGCATAGGAATCCGCAAATTTTTTTCCCGCTCCCCAGCGTGGAAATTTTTGAATACGCTATGAATCCGGAATGGTGTGGACCCTAAATCAGGATATATTTTTATCCGGTGATGTCACAAGATCAAGCCCAGTTCTTTACCGTGAAAACTGTGTTCAAGATTGCAACATCGACCCATGCTCTGTCGCCAATATTCCTAGAGGAGTCCTGGAGTGAATCCGGATACGAGTCGGATCAAATTCGATTTGAATACGGATACGTGTGGGCGTGGAATTTGTGACTCCGGAAAGAAAAATTTGCTGATTGAAAATTTCCGGATACGTGTGGACGGGGCCTTAATCAGAAATTGAGAGTGAAACTGGTTAAGGCCAGAAAGTCCTGTTCACTCTGATTCAAGCATCAGAAGCATTCACGGTATTTATTTTTTCTTTACCTATTTGATCTTACATATTTGTTGTTGTTGTTGTTGCTGCTGTTGACCAAATAGATGAGACATTTACAGCGACAGCTCCCTTGTTAATAGTCCATAAAATCAATAAAAGTGAACTTTTCGGTTGCTAGACATTAACTTTTTAACATTAAGTGATGAACTAACGTCCCTAGACTGGTCATAAAGAACAAGGGGGGTGCGTGTGTGGGTGGGGGGAGGGGCGGTGGTGTTAGGGAATTATTATTACAAATTGAGGTTTTATGTGACCCACCCTAATTTTGGAGAATAGTGCATGACCCACCCTTATTTTCACGTAAAAAATATATTTCAACAGTCTACCCTCCTCCCACCTAAAATTTATTGCCAATCCCTAATACAGTAGAATGCTATGCATAAATTTGTCAGAGCATGATACATGCATATCCTCCGGTATTTCATAATGTAATCATTTAAGTTATGGGAAATGATATTGTGTACAAAACACCTCTGTATGAGAAGTAGTCAGTCCGAGTCTACAAAAAAATGCCTTGATCGATAGGTTGTTGCATGTCTCATGCGAAGCGACGTCATTTCGTTCCAGTGGGAGAAAATCCAATCGAGCCACCGTAAAGGAGCCAGGTGTGGAAGAGGTCACTTGTAGACTCTAAGCCCCTATAAATGTGTATAGTTTATACTGCACTGTGCTTTTGTTTCATTTAATAAGATTGAACGACGAACGACTTCCTTCTGAAAAGTAGAAAGACTTGCTTGAACAGAGGGGGCGCGGTTTGAGCGGGGGTAAGGATTCTCCGCTCCCTAACTCCCGACTTTATCCTTTCGCTTTCTGGTCCTTTATTGCCCACTCTAATAATCAGTCTCCTAGAGGAGAGAGTCTGGCTAAAGGGTACACGCTTTTCGTATCTGAAACTTCACCGCCCTGGTCTACCAAGGAGGACAGTAATGCTGTAGAAGACCACTCTGCGAGAGTTGATGCCATGAGATAAGAGGCTTTATTTGCTTAGAGCTAAAAAGATACCGAAACTAACTGGTTCAAATTACATACAGGTTAAAAACAAAAAATAGTAAAATAAATACTGTAAATGCTCTTTAAGGATAGAGGTACCAAAATGTAACCACTCGTACAAAAACAGTCGGTTACATAAATCTAACATAAAAACTTTCTCAAACAGATTGTCCAAGATAAAAAAGTTTAAGGAGCACTGTCATGGAAATTCTTGCCATTTATACGTAACATTTATGAGTGAATAGTTTTTCTCTTGCAGGGGTGTCGCTGGCAACACCAAGCTATAGTTTTTAAGTGAATCAATAAAGGAGAGCAAACCGTTTTACAAACATCAATTTGTCCAAGACACGATAACCGACTCGAAAGCATTAGCCTGACCTCCTAAAGTTGTGATTTTTTTCCTTGCCTTCGTTCATGTCGAAGGACAACCATGAAAATTTGAATTGCACTTAAAGAACGTCTCAACAAAACAAGAAAATTTATATAATGTTTTCAGTGTTGCAACTACATCTTTGGGTATATCGTGACAGTGCCCCCTATTAAAGTAAAATGCCCGAAATACAAAACAATGCCTACGAAAAGTAATGGATAAGAATGATTATCAACTACCAGCTACAATTACAGTTACAATTTTCATCTAATGAACACTACTCCGTAAACGCTTACGAACAATAAGGCATGAGTTATACTCAATACGATCTCCTTGAATTGACGCCTAAGACCCTGTTTACATGGAGTGGGGGACCCTGGTTTAGTGGGGTAGGTTTCTTTTGTTTTGTGTCCCCCAGAGCGTGAAAACTAAAAGAAACCAACCCCACTAGACCGGGGTCCCCCACTCCATGTAAACAGGGTCTAAGTCACGTTCAAAAATACATTAATAATTCATAAAGAAAAAACAAAAGAAATTAATGTTTAATGAGTGTCCTTTATATCTGACAAAGACAGGGCTAAACGTTACGTCCAGCTTTTTAGACCAAAATAATCCCAAATCTAAATGTTAGTGCAAGAATGAATTCATTTATATCAGAGATTTTGAAGCCGTTCAAAACCGTCGTAGTCGTGTATTATTAGGGAGCTTTAGCATCGACGACGACAACGGCAGCGAAAACGTCAGTTTTAAAATGAATTCGGGTTTTTTCAATCTTTGTCGCGTTCATTCCAGTTTGCTGAAAATGGCAAGTGTAGGCGAATTTCCCTGGAGTTGATTTCTTGAGGACCGCACTCAAGTTTAGAGAGCGAAAAAGAGATTCGTCGTCGCTTGTTTACGTCCTCCATAAAACTTGCAATTAGGCATTTTCACGTCGTAGTCATGCACGTGCAAAGTTGTTGTTTTGCGTAATAAACATATTGCTTTTTTGACGTTCTCGTTGCCGTCGTCGTCGCTAAAGCTCCCTATTAGGTTTAAAAACTCGAGGCGAAATAGACTGCTG